GAAAGTAAGTTCTTTCACTCTGATTTTAATCCTGTCTCATCTTAAGTCATGTATCCATAAAATATATTTCTGCAAGATCAACCCTGAGTTTATAAACTTTCTGGGGCACGGACCATCTTTTTGTTCTTTGTTTGTATAGCACCTTACACAAAGCGTCATGATGAGGGCTTCATGGTCTACTATAATTCAAATAATAAATAATATGGTGGGGAACAAATATGGTCCACTGAACCAAGAGTCTAGGATCTGATACGCAGTAAAGCTTTAAATAACTGAATGATATCTCCATACCATACTTGCCTTATATATAAAGTAGGGAAATGGTGTTTGCCCATGTTTTATAAAGCAGCTAGTTAATTAATAGACGTTGTTGCCATTGGAGGTCGCAGAGGCAGAGAGAATGGACAGGTTTAAAAAGGGATTAGACTAATGTATGGGGGACAGATCCATTAGTAACTATTAAATTGAACAGTCAGGGATGCAACTTTTGACATCCCTAAACCAATGACAGTGGATGCCAGGAAAGGTATGACAAGGATCACTCTAGACATGCCCTGCTCATATTTCCCTCCTCCACAGCATCTACTACTGCTGCTGTCAGAGACAGGACTCTGGCCTAAATGGACCATTGCTCTGACCGAGTATGGCACTTCTTATGTTCACTGGGGTGTCTACAGATAAAAAGTGCTGTGTAAGAGCTAAGTATCCTTATTGTCATTCATGGTCCAGTGATATTCATGATTGACCATATGTTTTCTTAGAAAACCTGCTGCTATATATGAACTGCATAACACAATCCAAGTTATGCAGCTGAACTGCAAACCTAGGAGAGCCGGGAGACTGCAAATAGGGCGTCAGGTATAGTGGAGGAGCAGTGATTACAGATGCAGTGCTGTAGCATCGGGCAATTTGGTACCCGAGGCAAAGCCCGGAGTGGCAGCCCACCCTCACCGCACACACATGCACCTTTCATGCTTGCTGCCCAGGAGTGCCCTTCCCCCATTCC